GGGGAGGCTCCGTTTCTCTCACCGGCTCTTGCGGAGTTGCTGGTGCTAAGAAGATGCGGCGTGAAACGGTGCAAAAATTAGTATCTGCCTCTTAACACCAGGCGGGGAGGAAGGGGGGGGTGAGAAGGGGATGCGGGGGAGGAAGGGAGTGGGGTAGCAGGGAGGGGATGGGTGTTGGGATGGAGGCAGAGGGGAAGGAGTGGGGGTGGGGAATTGGGGAAGGGGTGGGGTGGGGATAGGAGGCGGCGGGGGGGGGGCGGTAGAGAGGAGCACGGGGGATGGCGCCAGGACCAGAAATTAGAGGCTGGTTCTGCTCTCAGATCACCCAGGGTCAATCCGGAGTCACTCCTGTTTCAAGGGCAGGGCCGGGTTCTGATCTCAGCTCCCCCCTGGATCAATCCAGAGTCACTCTGTCTGCAGTGGGGATAGGGCCAGGTTCTGATCTCAGCTCCCCAGACTCCTGGGGTCAATCTGGAGTCACTCTTGTTTGCAATGGGGGCAGGGCACGGTTCTGCTCTCAGCTCCTCCAATGCCTGCGCCCCGGGTCTATACAGAGTCACTCCTGTTTGCAATGGACGCAGGGCCCGGTGCTGATCTCAGCTCCTCCAGGGTCAATCCGGAGTCACTCCTTTTTGCAATGGGGGCAGGGCTGCGCATTTTACCAACTGAAGAGAAACAAAAACCTGAAGGCTTCAATATCTGTTAACTAGGAGCAAACCCTGGGAATAGGCTGGAGGGACGGGTTGGGGGAGATGGATGGATTGTGGCAGCTGCATCTCAGTGCTGGGCTAGGGGTCCCCGTGTACCCAGTCCCTGCCCCATGGGGGTCCCTGTATACCCAGTCCCTGCCCCATGGGGGTCCCCGTATACCCAGCTCCCACACTCTGCCCCAGAGGGGCCACGTCGTAGCACTGGGTGAGGGGTCCCTGTATAACCAGGCCCCGCGCCCCACCCCAGAGCCAGCCGCATCCCAGCACCGGGTGAGGGGTCCCCGTACACCCAGCCCCCGCGCCCCGTCCCAGGGGGCCCCGGCAGGAAGCAGTGGGGAAAGCTGGCACCAGAGGAGCGGAGGGCACTGGGGAAGGTCAGGTCAGCTCGGGCCGGGCGCCGGGCGGGGAGCTCAGCCAGGGATATTTAAAACCGTCCTTGTGATCTGCTAACGCAGCCACCTGCACCGTGACCCCGCAGCTCCATGTGCTGAGCAAGGCCAGCAGCCGGGGGGGGGGGGCTGGCCCCAAGTCCCCAGGGCAGCGCTAGGGGGGCCTGTGCTGCAGGGAGGGGGGGATCAACCTACCCACCCACCCCATCCATCCCCATCCATCCCCATCCACCAATACATCTACCTATCTATCTACCCCACCCACCCCCTCTATCTATCTATCTATCTATCTATCTATCTATCTATCTATCTATCTATCTATCTATCCCCATCCACCCATCCACCCATCTATCTATCTATCTATCTATCTATCTATCTATCTATCCCATCACCTATCTATCTATCTATCTATCTATCTATCTATCTATCCCATCACCTATCTATCTATATCTATCTATCTATCTATCATCTATCTATCTATCTATCTATCTATCTATCTAT